CAAAATCATCTTTAAAATACAGTATAGAAGATTAGAATCTCATCCACTACACTAACGAAATTTTAATTGAAAATTTACTATAATTGACTTTAATTGATGTACAAATTATCATTTACATTCAATTAACAAAGGACAAACAGTTTCAATTTCGGGAATGATATGATAACATTGAGGTATCTAATTAAACTGGCAGAGTTTTGGTTAAATTACAGCGGTATAGCTGACAACAATGCCGATATACGTTCATCTTTTGTTTATTCTACTACAACTAGTATTTATTATGTACTCGTCAGGCTATTTCAACTATTTAACTTAATATGTAATACATCCGCCGCAGCAAACCTGCAGACTAAGCGAATTTCAATTTGGTTGATTAGATTTTAGTAGGTACTTGGGGGAAGGGAAACGTTTTTTATCAAATTTTAATAGGCCTAGTATGGGATGAAAAAATATATATATAACAAGCAAACTGCAACAGTTTTCTTGTTTTCCATAAAAAATTACATATGATTTTAACATACTATTTTGGAATTCTCTCCGAGACCTATGAAAAAATGTAATGGTTTTTTTACCCTTGATGGTTTTAATGGAAGTTGGTTATTTTCATGTTTAACGGTAAAAATTTCATGGTTAAATTCCTTAAATGGTTTGCGTAATTTGGTCAGTTTTGTTAAATAAGTTAATTAATATTTAAACCTTATTTCGCATCCCGTCTTTAAAGATCAATATTTTTGGAACATGAGTTAAAATGTTGTTTCTTCATTTTTTTTAAATTACTTATTGTGAATGTGTTCAATAGAAGCCAACATTTTTACACAATCCAAACAAACGTTTAAACACAATTTCAAATTACACAATTTTACTACTTCAAAGAGATTATCTGTTTTAGTTGTGAAATACGAAACATCACAAATACGACTAAAAATGTATAATATTTCAATATTACTAAACTACTTGCCGAGTAACTCACTTTGATTTATATTCTCATGATACATTTTAATATAAATTTAATTTGTCTTCTATTCGCTTTGGTCGAACAAAGAACATATTTTACGAGTTAGTTGCACTTTTAGAAATTGCGAATTATCATCACTAGCCTTTACAAAAGTCCTTACTGAATTTTAGCAGCGACATTTTAAATTATTGTTAGTAGGGCTTATTTTATTGGCTTATGCCTTTCTACATAGGGAAGGTTTTCTATTGCGTTACACTGACTGTATAATATAAGGTAGGTTCTGTACCTTATGAGTGTGTACTCGATACAATTTAAACTCAATAAATTTAATTCAGTAAAAAATTACCTAGTGGTTTATATTAATCGAAAATTTAAATAAAGCTACAATTGTCAATCAAGTATAAATTTTATGCATTCAATGTGTTGGAAATGTTAAAATATGGATCTTAGCTGGTATAAAAATAACTAACTCTATGTTTGAAATATATTAACGTAAATTGCATCAAAAACATGTAAGTGTTTACAAAACTGAAATTTTATATTTATTTACTTTTGTGACAGAGTGATTCATTTTGCGATCAACAGTCAACGAATCGGGCTCACCATAAGCATAAAAGACTGACTAGGCCTATAACTTATACAATTTAAAATTTATCATGACTGTAAACAAAAGGCATAAAAAACTTTTCTCACTACATGAATTTAATTTCTCATTTTACTGAATCATTAAATTTAATAATAGATTATGCGAGGAAGTATTCAAACATATAGAATTTGGCCATGATTATATAAGTAGTTATGTTTTAGTTGGTTTAAACATTCTTCAATGATTCTTTAAGTTACAACTTTACCTACCATCATTTTTACAACCATTAAATTAACCAAAAAATATTAAAAACCAACATTTATTATTTAGTTTATTTTTTATCACACATACATTTTAAAATTTTTAAATTGTATCGCCGACTTACCACGGCAATCAGACAGGGAGATTTTCACACACACACGCACACCAGGAGGATCGCGACGTTACTGGCCTAAAAGGGGTGGGATGGCATGGGGTGCGCTTACCCAATACCCACCCCCTAAACCCCCCTGACGACAGTGACCCACTACCAGAGGGTCCTTGGTCAGGGTCATCGGGTGTTGGGGGTGGGAAGGACAAAGTTCTAGGGTCTTCATCTATGGTTCTAGATGAACCTTAGGACTCGTGGTATTTTTTTTTAAATGGCAAAATAAAAATAATGAATAACAGAAAATGATACTGTTTCTAGATAAGTGCTGACAGCTAAGAATATTAAATGTCATAAAACTTCTAACTATACTTAGTCATTTAGGATAAATGCGCTGCCCCCTTCCTTTCCAAGCCTGAGGCTTAACCTAACTGCTATGACATTAGAAAACTTCCAAGACAAGCACACACACATAATACCTTACCTTTTGGTACGGCTACAGACAATAACTTTCGAACACATTTATTTTTGTATTTGTGAATTCGTACGCTTAGTTTAGTTAGCTTTCATAATTATTTAAAAATTCTTCTCGAATAAAGCTTTCTAACGACACAATAATTAACAAAATTGATCCAGAACAACTGTAGATTTAGCTTAACAAAAATATCTAGTCACAGGTTATAAATAGGGCAAAAATATAAACGCTTAAAATTAAACTATAATTTTATGGTTATTTAAGACTGTAAAGATCAATAATAAAGAATAAATATAAATATATTATTGAAAAGAGAAAATACGTTTAACAACTCGTAAATTTAATTTAATCATTCAACACATAATTGTCCACATTTTAATTAATTATTTTCTGTTACGAAATGGGTTATATGAAGTGCATTAGTATCATTTAGTACCTAATCATAATGCAGGCAAAAGTAGAATATAGTGAGATAATAACTATTATTTAATAATCAATAAGTTTCGTACATCAAGCTCAGTAATTGGAAATACTAACCAGAATACTGCAGTGAATCCAGAGCAAAGATTCAGGTCATCACGGGAAAATCATCCTTAAAGATATCACCGTATTCAACTACTTGACACCAACACTAAGTAAATATGTACATACATTAAACACACACACTACAAGTATACGTACCAACACGAAATACATCGCACCATTCTACTACACGAACAACACAACAATGAGAATGAAACCAATCAAGAAGAAACAAGCACATCATGCGAGTAGATGACTTGCTAATCAGCTGTTTGGAAAAGGGGTTTTTGGTTAGTATACTAGCCAACATTTTAATACGCTACAACATACTGAATAATATGTTATTGTTATGATATATACTGTATTAATCAAGATAACATAACAACAATTTGATGTCGTGAGGAAATAGTTATATGTGTAACTAGTTAGCGCCGCGAACTGGCAATTTGCGCTCGCGTTACACATTATATTTGTCCTATTCCTACAGTAACTTTTAAGCATAATTAGTCTTAGAAACCCTGAAAACAACAAGTTTTAGGTTAGGTTAAATCCAAGCGTTGAACGAAAATATCGAAACAGCCAACAGGTTGAGTCGTAGTTCGTAGTATTAAAATTCAAAAGGCTGTGAAACGCTACACCAGCTGATTGTAGTCCGATGTTGTAGTCAAGTCAGTATTGCCAACTTTCCTTAAAGCGAACACGTATTACGTGTTTAAAAATGCACACTGTGTTGTTTTGTTTGGTTGGAATACTGTATGAAAAAAATATTTTTGTTAATAATTTAATTAAGGGCGGTTATATAGTATTATTTTCACTAATATTCATTTTATAAAATTTATTATTTGATTCAATTTGGTTGATACTAGGCGTATGCATTGTGACTTTTGAACTCGTACTATCCAAAGAAGGATATGGGTCTACGATTCTCTTCATTTTGGAGGGACGTTCAGTCCGTTTGGTTGAAATACTGTATGAAAAATATATTGTTGTTAATAATTTAATTAAGGACAATTATATAGTATTATTTTCACTAATATTCATTTTATAAAATTTATTATTTGGTTGATACTAGGCGTATGCATTGTGACTTTTGTACTCCTACTATCTAAAGAAGGATATGGGTCTACGATTCTCTTCATTTTGGAGGGACGTTCAGTCCGTAATGGTAAACTATCCTAGGTGGGCATTTAATTAACAAGTGAGTCACAATGGGAGTAGCAAAATCATTTTATTAATCATGAAATGTGTCCATTACTTTACATTATTACACAACTTGGTTGGATATTTATTTTATTTTATGTTTTTAACACCAATGGTATTTTTACGTTTTGAAAGGAACCGTCAATTTAGTAACTTATTTATTAAGTAGAAGTTAGCTGTTGGGGATGTAAATAGCTTAAATTTAGATTTTCCAATATATTCACATGAGTATGGCTGAAGATGATAGTAACCTAATCTATTTTTCATGTAACAGGTTTTTTGGTAGGTTTTTTTTATTTTTCTTGTTCCTAGCAGTGAATGTCTGTAATGGGTTATTTTTCTTTGCCCTATGTCTTAGACTATTTTTTACCCTTGACTTCAAATGATGTAGGTAGGTTTTCAAATAAGTGTAACTTATAAATTCAATCAGCCCTGATTATATCTTGTAATCTTTACAACAAATAGAACCAGACATTCCATTCATATGTTAATGGATTAACAATGAGAAGAACACAGGTAATCACATCTTTTATGTCATATAAATCTGTCTAAGCAGGCTGCAGGAATTTCACCACTGCGCAACTTAACTTATCTGTCTTATGTAACAATTTTCTTCAAAAAACATGGTTTAGCTGGTCCATATTAATGGGATTACTTCTTCAGTATCAAAAAGTTGATCTGGATCTTGAGTAGCAAGAATTTTCTTAGTACTTCCAAACACTGTACATTTATTGACATAATTTCAACTTAAATTTAATTTTTTGGATGAGAGTGAAAGAAGAGAAGATAAAACAGAATATATCAACAATCCTGGTAAGTTTCAGTAAATATTTTGCAAATACAACACTGAATAGAAATGTGAACAGGATTACAAATTATTAGGCAAATATTTGATCAGGTCCATCAAACTCTTTTTATTATTATAACAATCTGTATGTGTACATACAAATGTCAGTTGTATAACAACCAAGAAGTGAATATATTAATATATATAATCATATATAATACTATAAACTAACTGTTAAGGCTATACATCAGTTACTTAATTGTGGATGCTTTTACAAAATACGCTTTTGGCACAGAATCAATAAAAGGCACAACAAACTTATACGTTTGATAACTCATTAGACACAGTACAAAGAGAAACTATACGAACGCAGAAAACAAACTACAAATATGAAAGTACTAAAATATGCTGAGGGAAACTATCAAGAATTCCTATAGAATTCATTCCGAAATGTTCTGAACCTTCAAATATTACCCTTTAGAATATTCAGCCCTTCCGACGGACACTGAAGAGAGGCACTCGATTCTAAGTCTCATGATGAAAGGCACGAGTTCCAGATGCCGCTTAAAACCATCCACAATTAAGTTAGGTTAAGAAATAAGAAAATCGTAAAATAATATTAGCTACACACTGTAGACTATCGCTATGTACATTCGCTTTGTACTACGCAAGATCAGTGATGTGATCCGAGAACGTGTGATGATGGCAACTAACAACTTATCGATAATATTAACACTCTACAGTTATTATCGATTAATTTTAAAACTCACCACGCTAAACCGATGGTCGATGGCTACAAAGGCACGATAGGTTCAAAAGTCCGAGTGGTTACGATTATCGGTGAGTGGATGAGAAACTTTGGCTCGGTTCAAATACGTGTTCAGCTGAATTGTAAGTTTGAAGATTATAGTAATAATAATTTTACTTAACAATGGATACAAAAAAAATGTTAGTTGTGTAGAAGATTTTAAGTTTGGTGTTTGTTAACATTATATTTTTTTAATTATTTTTTCTGAAATCACCTTATTTTAGTTAAACAAACTACAAATTTTCAAATAGTTTCAGTGACAAATTTCAAAGATATTTGTTTACTCAGAGAACACAAAGACAGGCCAGATTTTGGAGGGGTAGCATTATGATAAAAACTTTTAAGGGTTGTAAAATAAAAATTTTTAAGGGATAGGTCGGTAAAATTTGTTACAGTTATTTAACTATAAGAAAAGAACAATTTTGCTTAGGCTACAGCCACTTTTGGTGACTCGATCACCGCTACCTGGTCGCCTTAACTCTTTACTTTACTTTTATATGCGAACTGGTGTAAGGAGGGGCCACACTAGTGACTTCTAGCTATTAAGTAATGAGAAGGACCTGTTAAACTTTTTTTACATCCAAAAAGTAAAAAAAAAATAGATTTGTGTGCATCCCCTTCTTGTACTTAGTTTGAAGCGTCATTATTTTCACAACTTATCATTCTTTAAGGATGGCACATTTTCGAATTGCTATTTTTTTGTATTTTTTTCTATGCATATAGCCAGGATTGACAATTTTCTGACAAGACTCTGAATTCCTATTGCACCAACGATACTTGCTTATTTAATTTATGAAAACCTATGAATTAACATACTTTTCAACTGCAAGGTATTATCAATCCAAAACTAAACAAGATATGGTACAGTAAAACAGTCCAGGATCTGGGTGTGAGGGAGCGAATTGTTGCCTAGGGTAATCGATTGCCGTTGGATAACAGGGGGAGCTTATTTTTTGCCGCAAAGTTAGGGGTTGTATTTTGACCTGAAAATGCTCCCAAACACATTAGTTTTTCTGTTTCAGGTTGCTTTACGTGGCCACCATCATATATTTAAAGCTATCAGTTTTCATTCATCGTAGCAACGACCGAGTCTCCACATTTAATTGAATACCGAACCAGAGTTTCTTACACCCACACACCTCTAGTTACAATATAAACATGGGTGAGGTAAGCGTTTGCTGTGGTAGGTGGGTATCGACCATCGACCGACACTCGTACAATTTAAGCGTATTAAATAGCTGGTCACGCTTAGACAATCTACTGCTGTTGGAAACACAAAAACATTGACAAACGGTTTGGAATAAAAATAGTAAATCACCTCTGGATAAAACAACGTACAATGTCTTTGGTCACATTTTGGGCGTAAAAAAGTGTCAATCTATTCATCATTTAGAGTGAAGACTATTCTTACATGAGAAAATACAACTTGTAACTTAAACGTGATTAAATCAAATTGTGATCACTTCCCAAATCTAGAGTTGCTTCAAAACAATTTATGCCAAGCAACATGATAAAAACAAGGACATTTCTCACAGAGACTTACGAAAAGAAATACAAACAACAATGGTTGATACAATTATTACAATCACATTTTAAACCATTTCCAAAATATATTTAATTCTTTTTTTGTGTGTAATTTATGAAAAAGAATGGAAAAATAACTTATAAAGACTTCTTAATAATTAAAAAATTACTAAAAACCGTTAAAATGGTTACAGAATTTATATCAAACCAATTGGTAGATTTGTTAAGGATTGCAAAAATTAATCCATATAAATTAGTTATAAAGTTAAAATTAATTTAAGATAACACTATTAATGCCAACACAAGCACGTAATTTAAAATTTAAGGCAATGCTTTGATTATTTGTACCTAGATTAAAAAAATTCAAATATCAAATGTTATTTCCCACTGGAACTTATTCCTTCTTTCCGAAAACCCTACATTGTTATGAAACTTAAGTGTAAGCTAAAAAAAATAAAAAAACACTTAATTTAGATACAGTTACCTAAAGTTGAACAATGCTTTGAGCAAGCGAATCAACAAGTATTATGTACAAAATATACATAAATGGAAATGATAATTAACGGTTCTTATAAATAAAATGAGTCAAATATACAGTCTTACATACATTAGTGCTGATACAGAAACAGCTGATGAAAACAGCAACACTAACGCCTCTAGTAAAGCTAGTCCTAATGAAAATGTTCAAAAATGTGTAAGTACTAGTATATACAATGTATACACGCTACAAAAATGTTATTGACAGAAATGTATCGTTTCAAGTAAACTTTTGATAGAACAAATAAACTAGTATAAACAATAAAAACATATATGCACGTGACAGAACAAAAACAAATACAAGATGATGACAACAGTTACTAAATACTACAACATTTGCTTTACTTTATGACATTTGACCAATGAAAATTTGAAATAGAAAGTTGTAAACTAAATATAATACAATTTAGATTAACCAATCACATATTTTTTTCTTCAAATGGTGGTTAAGCTAACCATCAAATCTATATTTGTGGTGCCATTTAACCATATAACTGGATGTGAATGCTTTACTCTGTTTTAAATCAATTTTACCCTCTTCTTACTAAAAATTATTTTTGAGAATATCTTACAACATAGGTTGTCATAATGAGTACAAAATACCAGATAAAACTACTGTTAATTTTTCCAAAAGTATTTGATTTACCCTCTAACTGATTTGTTTGGAGAAAATTGAAGTATAAAATGAAAAATCCACAGTAAATTCATAAAAAAAATATTATCATCTTGAAATCTTTACTGAATAGGCCTATTAAGAAATAGAGGTTTTTCTTTTCCAAATCGGTTTGTCACTTCTTCCCAACCGATTTTAATAATTTTAGGATTAAATTAAAGGTATGCATCCACAGATTTGCCATCAAGCATCATCATTCGACTATCTACTTTATATCTCAACCAAAAATTTGATTTGTTTTAAATTCTTACTTCAATTAAAGATGTATTTCACCAGTTCTTATTACATTATCCTATATGTTTTGGTCTAAGAACCTTAAGTGAAATACCAGCTTTCATTTGAGCAATTGATTATTAAGATCGGATGTTCCTGAAGCACGTTGCTGAATCACGAATCAACAATAATTATAATTATGTTAGAACTTATCTGTAATCAATGATATGCAACTCCATTTTTAAGTTGATTATATATGTCTTGGTCTTAAAATACTCCTCGAAATAAAGGCTTTAATTTGAAGTTTTAATTGATACATTTTTTATACCTAAACATTGTGATTAGACTCACAAATATTTTAATATTTCTTCATGTTAAGTGAGAGTTTAAAGTAACATACATACCAATAAAGTTTTAATCAAGTAAGTGATTCTTGTATCATCCTATACTAAGTAAAGCAAATGTTGTAACTGATTAGAGTGAATTCTAGAAAATAATAGCAAAAAGGTGAATTCAATTTGGCATTAAAACAAGATTCCTCGATCTACCATGAAAACTAAGAGAAACACCAATCGTGACGAAAGAAAGGAGAGAAGAGGTGTTTTACGAGCATTACAGCGCAGAGCTAAATATATTGTCGAGGAAGAGGTCATTGAAGCCCTCATCATTGTCGAGAGTGAAGGAGTAGTCAGACTCGGAGAGAGGAGGTTCTAGTTGCAGGAACGGCTCTGAGGTGAGACAAGAAAGGTCGTCCGCTTCTAGAACATCACGGCAAACACATCATAACAGTCCTTACAATACTCAAACATTTTATTTAGTTTTTTTTTTTTTTTTTTTTGCAGGAAAACACTTGGCTTAGGGATGTATTCATGATGAGGGAAAGGATTAACAACTAGCTTACCCAAGAAAATAGTTCCAGGCAGTTGAAGCACAAATAGTCCGTGAGGTAGGTGAAGGAATCCAAGGGGTTACAGTCCTCACACACAGAGACACACCTACACACACACCGTGAGGTAGGTAGGGCCCTGCTTGCAAGTGCGCGTGCGTTGGTGGAAGGGACGTTAATCCCTCAGAGTCCTTCGCCAACCTCACGGACCATAGGCTATCTTTGTCATTCTTAATTGGCGAAAATTTAGAAGGCAAAGCCTGGCGAGGTTGTTGGTTAACATTCACAGACCAAAAAAATCACAACTTGTCTTTAAAAAACACAAAAATATCATCCTGAATTAAAAAAAAAAACCTTTTCATGATAATGAAGTCATATTCAAAAAATGTTCAAAAATGTCCATTTTTAACCTTTTGTAACTCTGTACAGCCCCCTTCTCTCAACGTGTGGTTTGTCAGAACTCCTTGTGTTCTTAATCAGTGGTTCGTATTGACACACACCGTGAGAACAGCTCGTCAGAAGTTTGTGCAGCAGTTCGAGGTGGTTCGTTATGGCCCCTTCCCGCCCGAGGTCGGTAAACCTTCAAAGGCCTGTGGTTTGTGTAGTTCCGGTTCAGGCTGACTCGGTGCACTGTTCTCATGGCCTGTTCAGTTTTTGAGCTGAGCGCTAGTACATTGAATAAGGTGTGTGGTATCCACAACAAGAAGACCATGGAGACTGAAACAAAGTCTATGGTGTGTGGAAATAAATTCAAGTTTAGCAATAAAACTTCCCTAGTATAAAAAAAGAAATCACAAAACCTATCGGCGACCAAAAGGAATCTTGAATTTGAAGGTGAAGAAGACTAGTTCAACTGGAAGTGCAACATTTTTAGCGTACAAGCCTGAATGGTTTGCCTACGGTAAAATGGTGTCCTCGTTGCATTCACTATACACATTGGGGGATACTAAAGGATAATGGCCCGGCCTATCTCTCCAAACCCGCCAGTGGCTCTTGAAATCTACAAGCCACCACGTGCCTTGAGAACAGTCAGGTTCACAAAGGTTCGCTACTTCTCTGATAACTCAAAATCCGTTGACTGATCAATAGTACATTATTTGTGTAAATAACGTATTTTGTGCTAAGCCGCATAGTTTTTTTTAAGTATTTTATAAAAACAAAAAAACTACACATTTTTTATTCACCTCACCAACGTGAGCTCAAAATGGTGTACCTTTTTGCTGAACATACAAGTACATCCCCCCCCCACCATACCGGAGCTAAAAGCGCATGGTTGTCCCATTAGTTTATGTCTTCTGTGTCTTACTTCTCTGGGGGATAGCACATTAAACTACTGCATATAGTGTGTAAAATTATGAAATAGGCAAGTAACTATTTCATACTTGCAGAATCATATGGCTAAGCATGTTACCTATTTTATTTTATAATATTGATTTTACAAATAAAGATATGTTTTGGTGAAAACAAATTAAATCATTTGTAAGATTTATACTAAAACTTTCAATTGGTTTACATTGATAAAATGAGAGGATAGAATCAGACTTGCAAACTACAAGGTATAAGTATTCATACATTTAGACCTACAAAAATACCAAATTTATCAGTACAAAACATCAGTCTTACTAGTTAAATATCAAGTAGGCCTAACAATTTTTCAGACTTGTGTTATTTTTAGAATGATTTTGGAGTGACTTGTTTTGGCTGTTTATTGTTTACAGTAGTACGTAAACAATTACAGAAGAAAGCCTTGTACAACAATTACAACAGCAAATGTATTGCGGGTACTGCATTGATTTTCTGCAGGCGTTTTCATATATGGATACTGACTACCACATGAATTGAATCGTTTTTTTACCACCACTAAATCGAATCACGCCGAATTTCAATGGATTTTCGATGCATCGCACACCCCTAAATATTTTACATTTTAACAAAGTTACCCACTCCAACCAACCTTCATGCTATCCAACCTAGACCCGAGGTCGGTTAAGAGAGGGTGAACCAGATACTCCCTCAAACATTCCTACCTTCAAGAATTCCCCTGGCAGACTATCATTTAGAGTCAGACCTACAAATACTTTCCTCTCACAGAAAAAAAGGAGAGGGACATTACGTATTGAGAGGAACAGCCATTATGCTCATAGGGAGAAAAAGCTGATGCCTTCACAAAATAATCCATCGCAGATGAATCCAAAGTAAGTCTGAAAGTAGAAAAAATCAGAAAACAAATAGCGGTTCAACATAATATTCCAAACTAACGATTCCAATAGAAAACGTTTTAAGCCAAATAAACATGCACATGCACGGATCAAGCTACAAAACACAAAAGGTACTCGCTTTAGCTTTAGATACTAAAGTAGACATCCCACCTGTAGCCAATTTTGATTAGAGAAAATTTTAACGAATCATTCAGAGTGAGTTTTCAAATATTCATTTACCATCGTAGTTTTTGACGCCAAGGTATTTAATATCTTGCAAAAGGTTTTAAAGTTCACAAGTTGACCTTTCAGTTTGCTTAAAAAGTTCGGGTACTCAAAATAAATAAGCTACTTACATCAGCGCACTCTATCAGTGATTCAACTCAACTACTCTCGCTTTTGTTCTACAACTGGCTACGAGGGAATGGCTAGTTTTATGCATAAACCACTACCAGTCACAACAAGACTACAAGCACACATTAGTTGGATGGACTTACCACAGACAGGCCGGCACGAGACACGTAGCATGCGGCTAGCGATGTAGCGTTAACATGCGGCCAAGCGTTATAGGGCACGAGCTAAGCTGAATGCTATGGTGCTACAACGCTAAGATGCTGAGGCACTCAAGCATCCAGCCCAGCGCGCGCCCACCGCGACGCATGCTGACGTAGACCTACATGTTAGACACAACCCGACGGAAACAGTTACCCAGCTGGTGGAGATAAATAATTGGTTATTGTTATTACCAATATCATCAGTTGAGAGCAATTCTCTACAGTGTATTTTAGCAGGTACACGTGAAGTATGTCTAGATCAGAATGGTTATTACCATTATTTAACCGATTGAAATTGCCTTGTTTAGCTTTGATACAGGTAGCAGTTTCTTTTACAATCATTTTTAACAAAAGCCATGTGATCAAAGGACGGCTGGGTCAAGTTTCAAGCCATAAAAAAGTACCTCACTTTGCTGTTTCTCAGGATCGAAACCAGAAACCGTTTGAAGGTTAGATGAGCACCATGAAAATTTAAGTTAGGGCTGGGAGTGTTAAACAGCATTTATTTATTTTGTAGTTTGTAGTTTGATAATTAGGAATGTTAATATCAATAGGAATTTTCAAAACTTGGATTTTTAAGTTGAATTTAATTTGGAGCTCATTTTTAGATACTTTAGATAACTAAAATAAAAAAAAAAACTAAACCAAGGATTAAGTATTACCTCTCTACCAGCAGGGTACAAGCTGTTTCACATAAAATAAACACCAGTTAAATTTATACATAAAAATAACTAACAGGTTAATAACATACAGCACCACAAGCATATGAATGGTAACACTGATTAGATGAGAAATAACAACAAGCGATTAATTAGTAAGGAGTTATTAAATTGTGACTTTCGAAACTGTATAATGCCTAAGAAATAATTTCTAATTTGCCCAGATGTTAAAAACCAACAGATGATTTTAGTATAGACTTATAACTATTTCCTTAACTTTTGATAGAATAAAACTTTGTGTAACAGCACCCTGCTTAACCCAAAAATCATTATATAAAGGTCAAAACAATTTCAAGAACAACCGTGGCACTTCTAATTGGCCCAGCTTGGTCCGAGTTATTCAAAATAAATTAAATTCAGATAACAGTTGTAGGCCTGCATTTTAAGGCGACAGTAATTAAAATAATGTAAAAACCTACTTTTATAGATCTCTATGGAACAAGATAGCGTTACAATTCTAACTATAGAAAAATGGGTTATCCATAACAGCCTTTCCCCTTTTATTTTTGATAGTCAAAGCTTTTTAATGTGTGTGAAAATTGGTAATAAAAATAAAATGGTTTAATAGTTTCATTAGTTTTCATACAAGAAGTCAAGCACAATGTGCATTATGATTTTCTTTTTCAATATACACTTTCAGTTTATTAACCAAATATTCAATATGCAACGCAACAAACAATACATTTTTTGTATCTTGATTTTCTACTTGAGATTGAATATTTATTTAATATACTTTAAAAAATTTAATGGCAAAAGCTAACATACTGGTAAATTAAATGTAATATAATGAAAAGTAATGTCAGTATTATTATTGTTAAAAGCTATGTAAAATATATGAGAAACATTGTATTTGCAATTTTAAGTAGCAATTGATTTAAGGTCAATGGTTGTGTTAACATTAACACAACCATTGACCTTAAATCAATTGCTACTTAAAATTGCAAATACAATGTTTCTCATATATTTTACATAGCTTTTAACAATAATAATACTGACATTACTTTTCATTATATTACATTGTTTTGTTGCTTATTCTAGCATTACGGTTTAGTGGAAATTGGTTACCAATGTTTATATCAGTTGTTAAAAGCATAGTCTTGTTATCAACATTACTTATATTTCTAGTATCGAAAAAGTGTTTTTTTCTCATTCTGTTAGTCACTTTTACACAGTTTCCATTGAACATAAAAATTGGTATTGCATCGTTGAGTGTCCAACTACAAAAAGCAATCAATTCACATGTTTATTTTTTTTAAACAAAGACAAAATATTGAAGTATGGCACACTCTGCCGATTTATTAATTGATACATTGGTCATAAAAAATTATTTTACCAGTTAGTTTACAGTTATTTTACAAACCAACATTTTACTGGACTGACTTTACATGTTTAATTTAACAT